GAAAACACAGTTAGCGAGGGTCCATGGAAAACAATGATGAGAAGGCCTAAAAAAGGCTTGAGAAAAGTACAGGTACTGCCCACTGGGAAGGGGAGGTAATACAGTTACAGCGGTCCAGTACAGTGATGAGACACACATACGTGGGTTCAACTGAAGATGTATCTACTATCTATAATAATAATTGAGCATTGCAGAGTAGCACTGCACTGGATTCAATTCACACAGGTTTACCATTCTTTATTCGAAAGAAGAAAAAAAACATTAACCCCAGGTCACGTTGTCATAATTGGCCCAACATGTACAGGGAGATAATTCACAGATGTATACAGTACAACACGACACATACATGTAATATTGCACCTTTTGGTTTTAAATTAAATCCTTTTTAAAATTTGATAATCTCAGAAAGTGTCATTTTTCCAAGTCCATTGATTTCCATAAGTTCTTACAAATTCAATTTTAGAGAGAACGCCATTCATCAGTTACTACAGTTATGTTTCTTTCCCAATATTGGTCATAATGCTATCATATGTGAAACACGAACTGCTTGATTTATTAAATTAAAGGGGTCATAGACGAAAACACATTGGCAAAACGTATCAGTCAGATACAATAATACATAGTTTCTATGCCCAAATGTAGCCATGGAGGCCGTACTAGACTGGGCCGTTGTGTCAAGGGGACAAAGTTCAACACTTCCACATGCCAAGCCAAGTCAGGACTCGTCCCGAATACTGAAACAATACTTCAACACAATCACACATCAAGCTGCAATTAGCAGCAAGACTTGTACCCAGATAAACCCTATACAAACAGCTCAATAAGCATCCTCAGGCATGGAGAGTTATTAAACCCCATTAGGAGCGATTTCTGATAAGGGCAACAGTCCAGATCTCTGTGTCCATATCAACGAAAACTGATCAATATCAATTGTGTGTATCTTAATATAGTACCAGTTGGAACAGGCACAGTCAAACCTGTGTACATACATGTACATGTATGGCCTCCTCTGCAAATACCTAAATGTGTGGTCCTAACCTGTGTGTGATGGGTTCGATGCCTGGCATTCCTGGCTAGATGTCGTGGCCTTGATAAAGACACTTAAAACAACTTTCCTCACTCCACCCAGGTGTAAAATGAGTCCCTGACTTCTTTTGGGAGGTAAAAGGCAGTGAATGGAGAGGGATGAGCTCTGCATTCCAATACGCTACTCTAGACATAGTGGATCAACAACCCACTGCCACTACGGCCTCAAAATAGCTATGGCCTTTACCTTAACCTTTGTGTTTTGCAGATCCCAGTGAATTAATGATTTGATCTTGACATTTTCAGCCAAACATCGTGCACGCGGATGTTTTCTATAAAACCACGTTTGTGTGGCCAAAACAGCCGAATGTCTGGTCCCACCCTCCCCCTCCCCTGGCTCCCTTATCTGCCTACATGCTCGGGCTGTAACTTAGCAGACAACAATGAAATCAGTCTGATGACTTTTAAACCCTGCGTCCAAACATGTCAGGGGTTGCCGTTGACAACAAAATGCAAAGCAAACATCTATGTGTTAATGAGTGATTCAATAAAAAAGTCTTTTTTATAAACAGCAGCTAACTAAAAATTGTGGTTCACAGCTTAGAACCATAGGTTACTTATCATACTTTTATTTTGGCACCTCAAAATTATGTATGGCAAAATATTTTTAACTCAAGTTTGGCAAAACTGCCAAAACATTTTAAACTCAAGTTTGGCAAATTATCTGCAACCAAAATCTAGGAACCAAATATCAGTGATTTTAGAGTCAAAACAAACTTGAGACAGGCTTTTTGTGGCAGAAGAGTTTTCCTCAGAACTTGGTCAAATCCAATCAATCATAATCATAACATGTAAAGCGGTGCCTTTCAAAGTGAGGAAAGTTGTAACTTTGGTCTCGTGCCCTTTCATCTGCTAATGTATCTTATAAAAATCAATATGTATTGACACGAGCGGCTGTGTGGGGAAGATAAACGTTTATTTGAACAATGAAAAGTTTCCTGTGAAAAGGCAGATAAAATGTCGTCACGTCCAGCGTGAAATATTTCGGTCATGTTAGCAGATACCAAATATTGATCTAGAAATAACACAGAACATGAAACATAATGGTGATGTATCAGAATGCTGATAATAGTGATGTGTGTTCCTAGTGCCTGCCAAGATCAATGTTGGCAGATCTCCTACTCTGGAAAACTTTTCTGCCTCAAAGAGCCTACCTCAATTTTGTTTGACTCTGTAATCACTAATATTTGGTTCCTAGAATTGGTTCTGGTTCTACCAGATTTTAGTGCATGTTGTGTCTACTCTGTTCTTCTGGGAAAAGCTTGTGTACTTTAAGTCTACTTTGGGCCTCATATACCCATACAATTGTAGGCTGGTTCTAGCTATCTTGGGGTGGTTCAAGCTTATTTTTTGGCTATTTCTAATGTATTTCTAAGTATGAAATGATGACAAAAATGTGTGATAAGAAATGGCAGTAAATGTCACTATCAGACAGATTTCCTCATCCAGAATATTTCATCTTTTGGTGCCCTGAAAATGCTTGGGTATCTTTAATGCATCATGGCCAATAATTACAAATACAAATGCAGGCCTGTTTTGCATCCCTAACTGTGACTCAAGTAAGAAAGGTTGTCATCATCATCAAAAGATACAAATAAAAGTGCAGATCTATTTTGCATCCTACCTGTGACTGAAGTACGGAGGATTGTCGTTCATATCCTCGACCACGACATGCAGCGTAGCGGTGGCCGTGCGGGGAGGGGTGCCGCGGTCCCTGACCTTCAGCACAAGGTCGTACCGCGCCGTGGTCTCACGGTCGAGTGGCCGCTTGGTCTTGATCACACCTGTGAGACGTTAGAACAGGACTTTCAGTTCACTTTCACTGATCCCTGGCCAGTGGAGTAGTTAAATGATGACCAATAGACCAATCATAAACTAATCATACAATAAGTAATCATAGAAAAAGACTTTTACTGAAGGATAACAGGATTTCTGTAAAACACAAGTTGCCCAGTGGTGATGATAAATATATTTATCTAGTGCATGTATGTATTTAATTCTTAGTAGGGTCTAAAGGTGTCTTTTATTCAACCACTGTTGTCATTCATGGGCCCTGCACTGCAAATATCTTCTTCTTTGTTAATTCTTCGTGCCTCTGGTGACTTTTTGTGTGGCTTGAAAGTCTGGCCTTGGTATCTGGCCTATCTCTATCCAGAGCCCCCTACACCCCGCACCTTAAATACATCAATAAATAAAAACAAACAACACCCACCCCTCTGGTGGCCAGTAGTGATAATGAAGCTGGAGTTGTTTGGGATGAGTGAGAAGTCCAGGTCCGCGTTACTCCCGACGTCAGCGTCCACTGCGAACACCGTGCCGACCGTGGTGCCCGCGGGAAGGTTCTCTACCAGCGAGAAGTGGTACGACTCCTGCGTGAACCGGGGGTCGTTGTCGTTGTCGTCGGTTACGGTCACACGCACGTTCGCCGTGGCGTTACGAGGGGGTGAGCCGTTGTCCCTGGCAACCACCTGGAGGAATATTATGGTTTATGTCATCATTTTGATTGGATATGAAAAGTACATGGCACCCATAGGCTGAATTGCACACTTTTTACATGTTTAAAAACTGTTGGCAGTAGGCACTTTACCGATTAGTGCTCATCATTAAAATTGAAGAATTTTGTTACAATGTATTATACTTCCTCTGTTTTGGCTTCATTCTTCGCCTTTTTAAAAGATTTATGAAGGGTCAGAAGGTTCTCCCCCTCAAAAAACACTACTAAGCTGGTAGAAAAAGAACATGTAAGGGGCTAAATCACAGCGTAGGGGGCCCCTACACTCAAATAGCCTACTGAGAACAATGATACATATTCTAAAAACACAAGAAATGCCGAACACTAACGCTAACCTGTAGGAAGTACGAGTCTCTAAGCTCGCGGTCGAGCCTGTGTTTGACGTATAACCACCCGTCCGGGAACATTCCGAAGTTGGGTGAGTCCGCGCTGTTGGAGAGGTAGTACGTGATGAACTCGTTCAGACCGCTGTCTCGGTCCAGGGCTGTCACCTGCACATCAAATCAAAAGAAGATTCTTTATTGACAGAGTTAAGCTATGTTACACCAAAGGGCAGTTATACCGGTTATACTGACACAGATACAGATAGACTTAACAAAAAAGTACAGGGACTTTTGTATGGTCTTCTACAACTAAAGATCTAACAACGCTACAACCTATCACACCACACACCAGCTAACACACCAGCTTCGCAGGCACGCGGCGCGGCGGCAGCTGGCTACATTACACAGAACTACTTGTTACACCTAACCCTTGAACATCTAACTCTAGACTTTGTTTAAAGCAATCTAATGATAGCTTGTAGGGCATGAACGAAGCATATTGAATATATCTGGTTTTGAATGGGGCAATATAGCATTAGTTTTGGAAGCGATGGATTGCATTAGCGGAAACTGACCTGCAGGAATCGGTAGTTCACGCTCGCCGACTCCGGAACCTGCACGTCGTAAAACGTCGGGCTGAACATCGGACCATTGTCGTTCTCGTCTTGGATAATCACCTGGGTTTGAAAAGAAGCATTTATGAGAAACTGAACAAAGACATGCAGACATATGGGTCCGACCCTATCTTGAATCATGGTGAATAAGACATGCATGCTGTAAACCTTTCTGCTACAGCCAACCAGTCAGCCATAATAGTTACCGTTCATATTAATCGTTTGTGCATTAGAATTAGAGCTAATGTAAGATATTGTAATTTGTATTGTACATCAAGACTCCAGGATGGCCGAATAAAGGCCATAAACTGGAACTCAGCGGCTCCAGATGTCTTACTGAAAGATGATTGCAGTACACTAGATGTTGGTTAACTTGAGGTATGAAGCCACTTTACTACTAGTATATGGAGATTCTAAATAACAAAAGAAACGCACCAGCAGTGTGAGGTTGGAGAAGCGCTGTGGCGTGCCCTGGTCGGTGGCTACGATGCTCAGCTCGTATCGGAGCGGATTATCGTTATCTGCGTCGACACTCCGTAGAATCTTCACCTCTCCGCTGACGGCGTTCACGCTGAACAGGTTCCCCTGGGTTTGACATGAAATCTTAACCTAGTAAAATGTTGAACTTACATTTTGTAATTCCAACACCATTATATAGAGGTCAAATTTTCAGTGGCCACTGTTGCCTTCATAAGAATAATTAATGACCAATCACTTCACAACGTGATCTTGCAAGAGTTACAGTTTACAAACACGTGACCTAGACTTTACACACTACCCTGATGCTTGATGTAAGCAATTGACCAAAAGTGCCGGGGAGTTTTTATATCGTCCACCATCTCTACTAAGTGAAGGCTGAAGTGCTCTGATATATATGGCCTCCTTAATGCCTCTTAAAAAGTAATCTTGTATCCTGTACCTGGTTGTCCCGAAGACGGTACCGCACCAGCCCATTGTTCCCGGAGTCCCGGTCCTGCGCGCTCGCCACGAAAATGACGGTTCCCGGCGCGACGTTCTCGGTGATCGCCACGCTCTCCGTCGTCACGGTGAACTCCGGACGGTTGTCGTTGATGTCCAAGATCGTGATGTTTGCCTGGGCGCGCCCGTAGACTGGGGGGTTGCCGCTGGACGCCTGGAGGGAAGGAAAGAATGAATGAGTGAATAAAGGATAAACCGGGGGGTTACCGCTCGAGGCCTGGAGGGAAGGAAGGAATGAATGAGTGAGCAAATGAACAAGTTGATGTCCAGGATTGTGATGTTGGCCTGAGCACGGCCATAGACTGGCGGGTTACCACTCGACGCCTGGAGGGAAGGAAATCATTAATCAATTAAAGAATGAGTGAGTGAGAGGAGGAGTGAATGAATGAGTGAATAAAGGAGTGAATGATTGAATGAATGAATGAAAGGATGAGTGAAGGAATGAACAGATGAGTGATGGAATGAATGAAATTTTACAATGGACTAGCGTCAGAGAAAGCCAGCCTATATTGGCTTATTAGATGCCCCAAGCATGGTTGTACAATATTTGTATAACTAAGAGATACAATACTCATAACAACTCAAACAAGACAATTATCATAACTCAAAAGTACAATCATGACAACTTCAAGTAATCATAATCATAGTACATCAAAATAATCACAAAAGGTGTAGATGTGTTAAACTGAAAATCATGGTAAATGAGGGAATGACTAGTGTATATACTTGAATGTTAAACATTATAACTATGGATTCTACCTACACAGATGAGCTTTAATGCAAAGTTGGGTACTAAACAAAGATGTACTAAACAGAACATAATCGTATATCAGGGAATGACCAGTGTACATACCTGTATGTTGAGCAGCAGGCTGCTGACCGTCTCATGGTCCAGGTTGAGCTGCGTGTAGATCCGGCCGGTGGTCGGCTCGATGGCGAAGTAGCCCTGCCGGTCCCCGGAGTGGATGGAGTAGGTGATCGGGTCTGTCTTACCTGGGGAGGGAAGAAGAAGAAATGTTCAGAATCACGATTGTGTTACCTGGTATTATCATAAGATAGCTTTATACAATGTCTAGAGTTAGATGTTCAAGGGTCAGGTGTAAGAAGTCGTTTGATGTAATGTAGCCAGCTGCCGCTGCGTTGTGTGTCTGCAAAGTTGATGTGTGAAGAAGAAAAGAAAGGATCAGAATCACATTGTTGTATTAGCTGGTATTGCAACTATATTTTTGTAGTTGGAATACTGTTTACTTGGCAATACCAGTTTAATTTGTTGGTTTACTGGGATAAAAAACTAAATATGACCTAATTCTTTCTCTCTCCTTATGACTATAAAACTGAGTGGACTGAGGCCTCAGGCTTTGTTTTCCTTATTTTTTTCCTGTTAAGCATTTTGAACATGACTGGCTCCTCTCCATGAAACTGAGTGCACCAAGGCATAAATCTGGTACTCAGTCTTGGTTATCAAATTGTTCCCTAAAGCAAATCTTTTTTAAATCCAACAACCAACATATTAAATAACTGTGGCCTGATCTTGAACCCTTCAGCCTTGCTGACCAGTAAAACAAATATTTTCTAGTCAAGAACCAACAATTTAAATCAGTATGGCCTGCTCTTGAACCCTTCAACCCAGCAGACCTAGCATCAGGAAAAGGCTGACCTCTGAAACCATAACTCACACCTGCCCCACTGCAGCTGTTACCCGGGAAACCATCAACTTTTCACCCTGGCAGATAAATCTCAGCTCCCCGTCTGCCCTTTCCCAAATCCCTCACGTACAGCCGGTAACTAATAGGGCTGGATTTTCCTAAATCGGAGAACAGTCACAAAGCCTCACACAGCCCTTAAACCGACCCACCAACAGGTGAAAGTAATACCACAGCTCTCAGCTGCAGCGATAAATTTCCCACCAAAGTTGGTGTGGGTGGCAATGAGAGCAGATTCTAGCCTACACCAGACTGACAATGCAGGTTCAAAACAGTAAATTTTAGCCAAATTGGGAGCATAACTGGCCAGGGGAGTTTGGCCAAGGTAGAGTTCATTTGCCTAAAATGAAACCCTAACAGTGGACTCTTTCTGGTCAGTCAGACTAGTCTCCACCAGACTCCTTTCCTGGCTGAATAAATAGTAGAAATTGGCCTAAAAAGGTAGAATAATAGAAATTGGCCGTGCAGGCCAGCTAACTCCCCTTGGAACAGCTACTTTCTTTTTTGGCAACTATCTACTCGGCCTGCAAAGGAGTCTGGTGGAGACTACAGTTAGACCCTATCTTTGCACAATTCTAGTATCCTATTCCTAACCCCCTTAGGAAGGCCTGGTGGAGGCTAAAGCAGCTTCTGAATCCCTCCTGTCAGCTGAGCTGGCTGGAAACGTGTTCAAACCCCCGACCCCAACTCCTGACCCCGGGACTCCAGCAATGCCTCCAGGGTTTGGGCATTAGACGGAATAAAACACTGGGCGCTTACGGGATTACAGTGCAAAGGGCACGGATCCAGATTTAATTTCTCACAAGGCCACACCAATTTACTTTGTCAGTTCTTGGATTTTTCTAAAAAATATGCTTAAACTGGAAAAAAAATAATGATACCAAAGCCTTAAGACCAGGTTTATGCCTAAGTGCACTTAGTTTTATGGAGTGAATATAGTCAAATTCAAGTTTTCTCCCTGCCCTCTACTTTTTATGATATCCTCTTGCTATATTTTCATCTAAATGTGTCTACAAACCAAGGAAATGAATTGGCATGGCCTTCAATACAGAAAAAAGGTTAGGACTCTCTTTCAGTGCAATGGAAAAGGGGGCCATTTGTTGAATGTGTATCATTTACAGCCTGAGAGACACTGGGAGTGAGAGGGGATATGGTTGATCTGTAGTGTTGGTTTAGAGAGGGTCTGCATGGGGGGGGTCCTGGCAACGGTTAACGGTAAATTCAGCAGGGCCGATAACGCTTAACGGTAAATTCAGGATGGTCGGCAACGCTTAACGGTAAATTTACAGGCTTTTTTTCGAGCTGCAATGGATTTGGTATTTCGCTTTGTGAGAAAAGGTGATCACTGACAAAATTACGTATACCTTACATGTAATGAAGAACGCATTTCCCACCTGCCCTGGTCCCCTAATGCGTCCACAAATAAAGGGGAGTCCAAGTCGACGTCGGCCAAGGCTCTACCCAGCTTGACTTTTTTCCGTACGCCCAGTTTTACCGATGGATTTTGAGCAATCTATTATATAAAGGGGGTCCGGGGGGTGCTCCCTGGGAAATTTAGGATTTTTAAGCCTTCGCAATTTCCCACATTTTGAGAGGCAAATCATGGTGTTGAGAGTGTTTGTCGGTCCTTCTGATGTTTTCATATTTTTACTCAAGATTTTTGTTAATTTTGTCTGTCAAGGTTGACGGATTTGTTAAAAAATTCTGTAACTCTCCGCAAACTTCCGGTAATTGACGGAAAGCTAGTGCTAGCCAGAGCCGAAGGGAACCGAGCGCAGAAGCGCGAGTCGAGCGCCAAAGGCGCGAGCAATGAAGGGGGGTCCGGGGGTATTCTCCCCCGGGAAATTTTGTGTTTTTGAACCTTCAATGACGCATTTTGAAAGGCAAAATTAGGCGTAACGAAGAATTATTCATTAACGCTTGACGCTGAATTTAGGATGACAAATAACGTTTTACGTTGAATTAAAACGACCAATAACGCTTCACGATGAATATACTGATAACGCTTAACATTGAATTAGAGCTGGCAGGCAACGATTAACGGTGAATTAAAATAGCCCATAACGGTTAACGAAAAAGGGCATGCAGGCCCTCTTTAGAGCTATGTCTCCTGCTGTGGAGCTTGGTCAGACCTCCCTTCTGCCATAAATCTACATTTCCATTCTGCCAGCTTCGGAAGCCTGGTAGAGGCTATATAATATTCCATCTGATAGTGATACAGTGAGAGAGGCAGGCCAGGGGAGTG